TCAACGTTGTGAATTGCTTTTTGTACTTCCTATATTATGTTATCACTATTGCCCCCGTTGCTAGGTTTACTTTTTCTTCAAACTATATTTTCGGCATTCAAAATTAGTTTTTTCATCAACATCAATGCAACATACATATAACTCCATCCACTTGTTTAGGTTTAAAATTGTGAGTTATTTTAATAGATTTCATAAATCTAAAGTAAAGGTTTCAAATTTCAGCTTTAGCCAATTTTACCTTTGACCCTTATTTAAAATATTGAATATTTTGATTAGAAAATTAAAACATTTTGTGAATACATAATCTGACATTAAGTAATACTAGCCAACTATGTAAATTACTGTATTAGAGATGCGCGAATGCAAGTTTTTTTGGCTTTGCATCACATAATGCATTATGCAATTCTGTGCAATTAACAGACTTTGTATTATTACTAAGAGGTTACCGGATTTTAAAATATAAACTACTAGATTTTTATAGTAGAAACAGGCCTGGTAGATTAATTTATTGTTGGATTTCACAGGATATTGATTTTGATAAGATAAAATGACAGATCAAAATTACATAATAACTTCTTTGTGCATTTTAAAATTTAGGCAACTTGTATCGCATTATGCAGTATTATGTAGCACACATTAATTAACGCTTATAAAAAATTCACTTTACTGCGCTTTTAATTTCTCCTGCAATATTTAATATTTTCTAATTTTAACAACTTTACATATTTTATTGAATGTATCTTTATATTATGACAACGTTAAATTTTACTTATCTTCCATTTTTCTATATATTAATTCGTCAAAAAAGTTTTTTTATATCGATAGGGTAAACATTATATTAATCGTTAATAGGCTGCTCGATATGAGTGTCGTCAAGGGAACCCATATTCGGGCTTTCAATTATATTGGTGTCTAAGATTTTATTGAAGCTATCTTGACGACTACTGCACAAAATTCTTATCGAATTTGGTGCAGTATTCGTTGAGATAACTTCGATCAAATCTTTAGACACAAATTAATTGAAAGCCCGAATATGGGTTTTCCCTTGAATCAGATGCAAGATTTAAATATTTATCGTGCAAACTCTTTATGATCATAGATTTTTTTCTTCTTGTTATTTTTTGTACGTTATTACATAAGCACAACAATCTTGAATTAAATAAAACTCAGTTAGCCAATAATGAGATCATAATTGCACAATAACATCTCATGCGATGATATTAATCGTTGCATGACAAATATTTTATAGTAATGCACTTTGATATTTTAATTTGCAACTAGAACGTAACAAGTTAGTATTTAAGAGGATGAGTAATTTCCTGCTAACTCACCTTTGTTTTTTTATTTGATCTTACCCAAGACTATTAAACAGTGAATTTCACGCTTGTACACATACAGCCTAGAACTTATTTTTTTATGACCTTGATATGGTAATCAGAAATTATTCTGAATTTATTTACGATTAGGCCTATGTCATTTCCCTGACAATTGTCTACCTTGATATAGTAGTCTGGGATTGTCCTGACAAGAATTTATTTACTATTAGGCTATGTCATTTCTTTGACAATTATGGTAATCGGTGATTGTTCTGACAAGAATCATTTTTCTGACAATTATCTAGTACCCAAAGTTGTTGAGAAAACAATTGTCAAGCAATGTATCGATATCATTATTATTAGATTAAATAATGAAGCTTATAGAATGTAAATAGAAAAGACAAAAGAACGTTTTTTGTAATTTTTTATTTAAATATGGCATGTTGACTTGTAATTGAGTAAATAAAAAATCAATTAATAAAATTCAGATATATACAAATAAATTTTCAAGAAAATAATATTCATGGGTTGATTAAATTCAAGAAGTAAACAACTTAAACAGATTCGAAGTTTGCGCAAATGCGAACAACTAAAAGTGTTGCACAAAATTAAAAATAATCCCAGCACTATGCTTAATCACATAATTCCAGTTTTTGTGCAACTAAATGATAATGATTTTAATAGTGCAATAAAACAAATTTGTGAAACTTGGGAAATAAATACTTGAATTCAAAGGAAATGTAATGATATAATTATTCAAATCTGTAATCTACCAGATCAACAAATATTCGATGCATCTACTCTCTTTCAAACAATGACTTATTCTCGGGGAATTCATAAAGGAAAAATAATTTCCACACATCTGCAAAAAAAGGCTCTCAAGTTTGTTGATTCTGGTCTCTACAAACATCACTACACTATTAATACATTAGAATCAAGATCTAAATTTTTTAAAAAAGAAATTCGCCAGTTTGAAAAAAATAGATTATCCTTGAATACTAAAGTTCACTCACTTTCAATGCAATTAGTAAAAGCAAAACAATCAAAAAAAAAACAAATTTCAAAAATTCAAGCTGCAATTCAAAAAGCAAAGCAAATTAAACCCACTCAATTTCGAAATGCTGTTAGTAAATTATTTAAAGTTAATAATAAGAATACAGCACAGAATTTGTAAAACTAGCTACTGATATTAGTACTATAGGACATACTTCTATCTGTGCAACAGTAGAATGCACTAAAGCCGTTTTTCAATTTTTAACAGGTGAATCTCCACAACAATAGGTTGCACCATCTATTTTGACAAGATGGAATAAAGAAGTAGTGGCTTTGTTTTTTAGTCAAAATTGTCTTAAAGAAAATTCATATTGATTTTTCGGATATGGTGTTATGGTTGATAAAAGTACATGGGATGAAAAAAAGTGTTAATTGTATGTTTTTCTTATTGGAATAGTATTAAAGAAGAGCCCATAATTACAGTAGCAAAATTAACAAACCTAATACGTTGTAATGCAAAAACAGCTTTGACTACTGTATTTGAAATGTGTCAACAGCATAGAATTGATTCTAAAAAATACCACTTTTGGCTAACAGACAATACTGCTTATATGTCTTCAGAGGCTCATAGTGCAACTGCTAAATTTAATTTATTAGCTGCATCCAAATCATTTCAAATTCCTTGTGGATTGCATGCAGTCCAAATCACCTTAATGAATTTTGAAAATATGGCATTTGGAAAATTAGATAGTGTTAAAGGATTGTTACTAAAAAAAATTTACTTAACCTTGCCTTTCATCTTTACGACAGCTATGATATTTCAGACAAGGACAGTCCGTTAAATTTAAAGTCTGAAATATTATGAAAACTTTATAAGATTTTATTTGATTTGAAATAAATAAATATCAACAACCTATTCATTAACAGTAGTTGTATGAACTTAAAACAGCCAGGCAGTATCTTGTTAGACGGGATATTCATATTTCTTTTGTTCAGTATTTCATTGAGCAACTTGAAAATGCAAAAAATGTTCCTAAAACATATTTGTATAAATAAAAAATCTTTCTTGAGTGGCTTACTGATACGCAGATTAATTTTTAATTGCGGTGTCTTGTTAAATTCAGGCAAGAATTTTATGAACCTATTTATAAGTTCATAAATAGTTATGATTCAATTCCATGAATTTATAGAGAAAATAAAAAGATAACACTTCTACCAGAAAATCATACTCATAAAATGCCAGATAAAATATTAATCTGGATTAAAGTTCTTCAAGATTGCCTAGATAATATTTATGAGTTATTTGGCGATGAATTGGCTAATGTTAAGCATGAATTAAATACTATAGATTGTGAGAAGTTTTTGTGAGTTATTGCATGATGGTTTAGAAAATGCATTAAATGGTTTTATTAAGTAGATAGAAACTTGAGTTCACTTACCATTATGTATCTGTCAATTAGATAGAGAAAATGGGCCTGAGTTTGCTTATACATTCTTAAAAGTATTTTTTTCCTGGAGCTCTTCAAAAGAACAATTTATAATTGAGAGTTCATAGATTGAAAATTTAAAATTAGACTTACCAAATGGATGTACAACAATATTTGAATTGTTAGAAGAGCTAAACTATCTAGACTTCTTTGAAGAATTTAAGGCTTTTGCAAATTCTAATATAATGGAGCTAGAAAAATTTCTTCTTGTATATAAATTTCTTAAGTTTCATATTTGGAATATCATAATACATCAACAACAGTTAGAGGGTCTATTCAATCATTATGATATGAAAATTCATCCAAATATGAATATTCATTTGCAAAAATCCCGAATTCAGCTTAGTGGATTGGATGGTAGAATTCAAGAAATTTCTTAGAGCGATTTGCAGAATATTCACCAAAATGCTAAAATTTCAATATCAAATAAGATATTGGAAAATCATATTGAAACTTCTAGAAAAGAAAAGGCATATGAAGTTCTTAATAACTTTTTTCTGTAGAAACATAAAAAATAAATATACAATATTAGTAATGTAGTATATATTAACAGAATTGAACTTTTTATATTACAAAAAAAATATTAAAAACATATATTTAACAATCTAAATAAAAAGTTCAATTCTAAACTCTTTCTGTTTATTACTCGTACATAAATTTTTCCCAGCCTAAATATTTTAAAACATTCTACAACTTTATTTTATACTAAGTTAATCTTAGTTTTGCTACTAAATAAACTTATTCCTAACTAAAAAATACATATAATACTTGAATATTAAACTAAAAACTTTTAAAACCATCGAGAAACAGCCTGTTGGCCTCTTTTATTACATTTTACTTAATAACTCTAAAATAGCTATCTAAACCTACTCTCTAAACTTAGAAAAACTTAAAGAGCTCACTGTTTCTATCATAACAAGCTAAATTTCAAGCTTGTAGACCTAAAACTGACGGAATTACACTTAAAAAATCTCCCAAACTCCCCTAAGTTTTTCTCTTTTTTCTCTAAAGTTCCTTTTTACAAAAAATTCTATAGGCGTTTTTCGTGCAACACTAACTATTTTTAGACCATACTACCACGTTTTTAACTACTCCAAAATTAGTGGTTCTCTATTAATTACACCAATTTCATTTTAATTTTTAATTAAAATTTAATATTTACAAAACAGGAAATATTTAACTAACACGAACATTATAGTTTGTACCTATTAAATTACAGTTACACAACACAACTTGTGCCACACCAGCCACACTAGCCACAGTTACACAAGCCGCAGTTACACAATCCACAGTATCTAGAAGGTTCTATAGTGTAATGTTACACAAAGAAAAAATTACACCATTCTAAAGCTAATTACAACACTATCCCGAATTTACCAATATCTATAAGATATAATACCAACTCCTACTAACAAACCAGCAGTTACCTTAGATCTTGACTATTTTTACTCGATCTGTAAAAATAATTATAGCATCACCCTCTTTGAAGGAAAAGGGAAAAGTCATATAAGACCGATCCCTTTATACAAGCTCCAACAACCTGTATTACCAAAAGTACTAGAGCAACCAACAAAACTACTCATTTCTTCCGTGCACCTGACTCAACCTCTCTCATCAAATATCTATGTAACAAATACCACACTAAATTTGTCTCTAACCTAAACAAAACCTATAAACTCTATACAGACTTCTCTGTAGTCAAAACTAGAAAAAATGCAAGTCTGCACGATATTGAACTAACTGCTACTTTTATCAACCAGATCTCCAACACAATCGAAAACATCTCACCCTCCCCTACTCCTCAACAATATCATTATTAATGTCCTCAATATCGTTTAACTATCACTTGCAAATTTTATAATGAAAGACACCATCCAACTGAAAATTATAAAGTAATCAATGACGAAATCTACTATGCCTAATGTGCAACTACACTCGCATTCTTCTCCAACATATCCCAAACCAATATCTTAGATTCAACTAGAAAAAACCTAACCCCTCTTTTCCAACAAGCTTTAGATAACGAACCCAAAATACACAACCCTCCAAACAACCATCTACAAATCCACTCTCTTTAACTCTTCAACCCCTTACTACTACTACAAACAACAATGACAACCCAATTAAAACAAAACCTATCTCTATTTCAACCTCTATAGAAATTGATAGCAATATTCTTGAAAATACACTAAATAACACCAAAGCAAATAATAGAACCCCTTCTCTCCATGAAATCCCAATTACTAAAACTTCACTCCCAGATACCACTAAATCCAACAAGAACACCACTCAAACAACCTACTTATCAATTGTACAAAAAACCTAAAACCAAACCAACACCCCAAATACTAAACATACTAAACTCAAACCAACCTACGACTGGCTCTTCAACTTTCCCATAACTGAGAAAATGGAACAAAACAACAAACTACAAACTGCCTTCTCCCAACAACTCTATAATTTTCTTAAAAAATATTTCCACAACTTCTACCCTGTCACTATTATTAAAACTGCATCTCTCAACAAGCAACTACTTAAAGCCAGTTTCTACTACATAATTCGTTGTATAGCAGGAGAAAAACCTATATTTCTTATTAACTATATTTACCAAATTAACTCTGATATTAATAAACAAGCAACTATCCCCTTTGATATAATTGAAAATACTCTTAAAAAAATTATTGCAAAATTTACCTCCATTCTTTTTACTAAACTAAATTACCTTTAAATATTTGCTTCACCTGCAACTATCCCTCTGTACAAACCCGAAAATCGTCTCCAATTCTGTTTAAACCTAGCAAGACTACATCTCTATCTTCATAATACATACCAAGCTATAGATTATAATAAATTTGCAGAAGGCCTTAACCTTCGCATCAAGACCTACAAACTCACTCCTCAAATAGTTAATACTAACAAAGAAAGAAGATACCTAACTATCAAATCTGATAACAAATTCAATATTAACTTACTCTTCAATCTACCCACATCTCTTTTTGAGAAAAATTTCTCTATTCTCTCTCTTAAAAATTCTCTGGATTATTTTAAAGAATGGTTCAAGGATTTCTTTCCTATATACAGTCATCAATTCAAAGACCCACTAAACAAAGAAGATACCTTTGGCGAAATTTAATCCAAGATTCATAGAACTTTTATTTTCCAACTCAAAAAATACTTATCTTCTGTACTAGATACTTTTCAACAACTCTCCTGTTATGAAGACCGCTGAAATGAATGTTTTAGGCATCTTAATTTTCATATTTTAACATGTAAACATGAAAACTGCGAGTATGTCCAAGACCACAGACATGATACAAAAAAATTCTTCAAATATCTTCTTACCAAATTCTACAAAGAATACCCAGTAGAAATTGATTCACTCCAGATTGAAATCGACTCTTCAATCTTTGACCTTGACACTAAGCATGAAGCTACCTTCTCCAAACCCATCCCAACTTGACTTTTTGACAAACTAGCAGACTCTGCTGAACAAGATTACTGCACGAACAACTCTACACACTCATTTACCAAACGCTGTAATGGTTTCCTCTTTCAATACCTTAATGTCTACCAAATCAAAGCCGCCAAAAATTTACAAATCTACAATCTAACTCAACAGGACGCAATCAACAAAACTACTGAAGAAGTAATTAGTACTAACTTCTTAGCCAGAGTCATTACATTCTTCAAACTCCATTCCAAATAACCCCTTTTTATGAACTTACTCAATACTACCAACAATTAGCTTATCCTTAGGCAGAAAAAATTCTCAATAAAAAACACAATATAAACTTCCAAGCTTCAACACTTATTGAAGACTCATTATTCCTTAATGAGTCTTCTTTTCAATAATCCCATCTTCTACATATTACATTAATGCAGCCACCACCTCTTCAAAAGATACTTCCATTGTAGTTGAAGAGGAAAATGATGTACGTGGGCAGGTGGTTAAGCCCATTTACCCGGAAGAATCTAATAATGACGGTACTTTAACGTCTAACCAGAGTACTTCTAATTCTTGCAGAACTGTGAGAGCTGAGTATATAGCGAGCGACAATGTAGAAGACATTCATAAGGCCACATTACAATACTCTCTACATCTTATGATTTATCCACCAGCTTTAACCGATTTCTCTTATCTATAAACTCTTCTCCAATTCAAGCTCCTCAAACACTCAACTCCTTCTTTTTACATTTACACAAAATTGGCCTGTGGGACAAACTCTCTGAACAAATCGTTATATCCGTCAAAACTGACACAGTGAAGCATATATTTATTCACTAGAAGAGCATTGCCCTTTACCAGACCACATTATCGTACTTTATCTTAGTACTATCTACCTTAATCCTTTTATTCTTCTCAAATCATATACTCACAACTCTTCCAGCACTAACATAAATCCTAACAATTCATCTACACAACCTGAACAACCTAACTCACGTAATCTACATCTTACTATTGCTACTCATAATGTCAGAGGCTTCAGCATAGCCTCTAAAAGACAAATCTGGTAGGATTATTGTACAAATCATGCCATTTTAATTGCTAGTATTACTGAAACTAAAATTGCAAACAAAACTAAACTCTCTTTTTGTAATAACAACCTTTATACATATTACTGGTCCAATTCTGACAGCTCCATGAAGGAGTAGCTATTATGATTCGGAATCATCTTAAGCTCCATGTTCATAGCTGCCTGACACACCTTGGTAGAGCTATTGCCCTAGACCTCTTCTTTAAAAACAACATCAAACTTCAGATAATTTCTGTTTATTTTTCGTCAACGTACGCTACCAGACGTAACCTTACCCAAAACACATTTATCAATTGGATACTACAAGCTCAACAACATAACTTACAACTCATTATCTTGGGAGATTTTAATACACATAACACCGAATTTAGTTCTTCCTCTAAGTTTAAACTCATTAACTTCCTACACTGCTCTAACATGTTTGACATTGGTGTTCACTTTAACAATACACACTTTACTTAGTCTAACAATAACAAATCTAGCAGAATTGACTATATCTGGACTAACAACACAATTATTGGTTCGAATCCATGTTCCACTATAGATACTAATAAAAGTATTAATACAACATGGCACAAAATTTAGCATAGCATCACACATGCTGCAATTAAAACAATTCCTAACTGAGTCTCTCGCAAACATAGCTACAATCACAAATATAGTCCACAATGCACAGCACTTCACATTGGACTTAAAAAACTTGGCCATCTTATCAAAACTTTCAACAGTACTGTCAACAACAATTACTCTTAACTCTACCTCCCACATATCAATTTTCAAATCCTCATAATTAATAACTATTCAAAGTGCAACCTTCAATCTCTATCCTCACTCGACCACCATAC